TTCTCCACCAAAAGATTTTACTGGTTTTGGAAGTCCAATTCCTTTGCCACCTGAAGAGCCTCCTATATTGCCTCCTCTTGATGATGGGTTGGGCCCTTTTCTTCAGACAAAAGACGGGGGTTTCCTACGCTCTATGAATCCCTCACTTTTCAAGAATTCTAAAAGTGGTGGGAGTTTAATCATGCAGGTATCCAACCCTGTCGTTGTACCAGCAGAAATGGGTTCCGGGATAATGGAGGTTTTGCAGTGTTTGGCTTCAGTGGGAATTGAAAAGCTCTCAATGCAGGCTAAGGAGTTGATGCCTCTAGAAGATATCACAGGGAAGACAATGCAACAAGTAGCATGGGAAGCCATGCCTGTCTTAGAAGGAGCAGAGAGGTTAGTCTATCCTGTTTGTACCACTGGTGTTGGCTGAGTTTTTAGTAGTCATTCTTAAATGTTTTACTGATTGAATTTTGCTTTGCTTTATGCAGGCAAAGCCATTTGCAGCATAATCCAATAACAAGGCAGGACAGTGCTCATGTGCAAAGGGACTTGAAAGGAATGCCGTCTGTACAAAAGTCTGGCAAGTTTAGTTCAAGAACAGTGGCCAACCAACCAGGATCAGAGTTTGTTTCGGTTGAAGACCTTGCTCCATTGGCTATGGATAAAATTGAAGCACTTTCAATGGAGGGTTTGAGAATACAATCTGGGATGTCAGAAGAGGAGGCACCATCAAACATCATTGCACAGTCCATTGGGGATATTTCGGCTCTGCAGGGCAAGGGTTTTGATATTAGTGGGTCCCTTGGCCTGGATGGAGCTGCTGGTTTGCAGTTGATGGATGTAAAAGATGGCGGTGACAGTGGTGATGGTGTGGATGGGATAATGGGCCTATCATTAACTCTTGATGAATGGATGAGGCTGGATTCCGGTGAGATTGATGATATAGATAATATCAGTGAGCATACTTCCAAACTTCTTGCAGCCCATCATGCCAACTCTTTTGACTTCATTCGTGGGAGTTCCAAGGGAGAGAAGAGACGAGGAAAAAGCAGAAGATGTGGTTTGCTAGGAAACAATTTCACAGTAGCATTAATGGTGCAACTCCGTGACCCTCTGAGAAATTACGAACCGGTTGGAACACCAATGCTTGCTCTTATACAAGTTGAGAGAGAGTTCATGCTTCCAAAGCAAAAGATTTTCAACAGTGTGTCTTTGACGATGAAGAACAATGACGAGGATGATGATGATGATAGGGAAATCCTTGCGAAGGTGGACGTGAAGGACACCAAGAACGAGGGGAATACTTCCGAAGAGGAAGAGGGCATTCCTCAGTTCAGAATCACAGAAGTCCATGTGGCAGGTCTGAAGCCTGAGCCTCAGAAAACGAAGTTCTGGGGCACTTCAAACCAGCAACAGTCTGGTTCTCGCTGGTTGCTTGCAAATGGAATGGGGAAGAACAATAATAACAAACTTCCATTGATGAAGCCAAAGGGTTCATCTAAATCTAATGCTCCAGTTATCTCAAAGGTGCAACCTGGTGACTCCTTGTGGAGCATATCATCTCGTCTTTTTGGCAATCGAGGGAAATCACATGTAAGAAACCCCGATGTCGTTATGCCAAATGACACTATAAGACTCAGCTGAAGTCCACAACTTAGATTCTTCTTGTCTTTCGGAGTTGTTAATGTCATATCAAGGCATCTGTTTCTGAATGCCTTGTCACTCAAGAACCTGTGCTAAGGGCATTGTTTGGTTTTGTTATAGCAGCATCAACGAAATTGGGCTCATCCTTTAATAATGCAAAGTACTACGAGATACATAGAAAATATGAGGGATTTTGTGTATTTTGCTGTAGGCACAGTTTCCTATTGTAAAGTCAGTTGTAACTTGTGCATGCATATGCTGTATTTATGTCCTCAGGAAGCAGTGTTTGTATGTCACATGGGGTAAATTATATTGCAGTCCACAATTAGAGTATTCTTGAAGAAAAATGATGATTTTATTTCAATTGCAAATTTAAGATGCACACTTGTGGTATTGTCCATTTGAGAAAATTGAAAATTAAAAGAGATGTTTAGGACAATCCTTTAGTCTTATGTTTTTTCTTTTTCAATATAATTTATGGTTTTAAAATAATGATTTTATTTTAGATTTCCAATAAAACAGAAATAAATTTTTATATTAATTATATAATTCATGTTAATTACAAACTTAGAAAAACAAAAGAATGTTACAAATTTTGTATCATAGTGAGGTTTTGATCTTGGAACCTATGGGTAATGAGCATATATGATAACCAAAAAGTACTAGGATCGAAACATGACTCTAATAAAAAAAAAGAGTTAAACCTCAATTATTATATTTTCTAAGATTTATAAATAGCACAAAATATATAATTAAAATAAAACTTTCTTGTTTTGTTGAAAATCTTAATAAAAAAATAATTTTTTGTAGTCATAAATTTTATTAAAAAGGAAAAACATAAGACTAAAAAAATGTCACAAACATCTCTTAATATTTATTACTCATTAGTGTTGTGCATCTTCTTCAACATATATAAGATTATTTACTCCTGTAATAAAATGAAAACACGGCAGGTGAAAATCAAAACCACAAAAACAAGAGAGTGAGCTAATAAAACAAACAAAATCTAAATTCTAAAATTAGCTCATATCAATCATCCTCTGAACTAACCACTCTAGAGCCTAAACCTCCTCATCTCAACATCAATTCAAAAAGAGTTACTTGTCTAGTGGACTTCAATAATCTTCTGAATTAACCATTCTAAGAATCTAGCATCCACATTCAAGCACACCCAAATATAGTTCAAAAAGTTATCTTTCCAAAGGGATTTAGTTATCCTCTAACTTTGAAACACTCTAAGAACATTTAGTTGAGCTACCTGCCAACAAATCTACTTAAAGCTAATTACTAAGAGAGTCTGCTCTAAATAAACACCAAAGATCACTCTTAAAAAGTCAACGAGTACCGTATTCACGACTTTTGACTAGAGTCTATACACATTAACAACCATGACCATAATAACACATAACAACCAAAAGCATGACATCATCATATTCATATGTATACAAACAAGAAGGCAAGAACCAAAATCAATAAACAAAAAAGAAAGTTCTCATCACAACCTAAGATACTCACACACTCTTATACCTATGATACTCAAAATCATGAAAAAAATATTTTTTCATCAAAATATAATATTTCTAAAAAACATTCTATACCCAAATCAATTATCAATTTATCAAATCTCCTATTTCCAATAAACACTATTTTAAACCTAAAAGGATAATAATCAAACCAAAAAAACAAAACCTAATTAGCTTCTTACAAAACATTTTGATAAAAGAGACTTGTTAGCTCCCTTTACAACCATATTTTAACCCAACTAATCATAGACACATACAAACAAGAAGACAAATAAGAAAATAAGAATGTCTCCCTGTACTTTTTACTCTTCATTTTTTTCCTTTTACCCCTTCAAAACTCAATCTTTAAAACTTTATTTCTTCTTTCTTGACTTGCACCGTTTCTATTAAGATTCTCTTCCTAAACTCTTCCCTGTATTTATAAACATAATATCTTTTGAGAAAAGTACAATGTTTTATTCTCCGTTTTAATATCTAACAATAATATATAACATTATCGAAAAATATATTATAATATCTAATAACATATAAAAATATCTCATTATATCTAACATTATCTAATTAATAAAATCAGATAATATCCTTTTAATTGAATAATTTATTAATAAAATCTTATTTTTTTAAATGTTTTAAATAATTAATAAACCATTTTAGATCTTGTCATAATAAAATAAATAGTACATCTTAAATATATATTTCTTGAACGTATATTTCTTAATTATTGTAATTTTCAAGAATCTCACATTATATGTATTAACTAAATAAATTTAATTATTAATTGATACAATAAAATATTTAAAAACTATTATATTATTATTCAATAATATCTATATATTATAAATTCGATCATTATTCAAAAATTATTTAACATCATTGTAATTAAAAAATATCTGCTGCTAATTAAAAAATAAAAAATAAAATGTAGATTAAATTTAAAGAATAAAATATAAATAATTTTAAGTATCAAAATTTTCTGAAGAATATTATTTACATATTTAAGTTACGTTCTTCTATTTCATCTAAAGAAAATTTAAAAATAGTAAATATCTTTAATTTCCTAAACTATATATTTATAAACAAAATTAAGACGTTACAATAAGTAAACAATTTGAAATAACCTAATAGAATTTTATGGAGAAGAGAGTAAAACACTAGAAATTCAAAGACAGTTTTGTCCAAAAACACTTCACTAGCGAACTTAAATATGAGCATCTTTATTGCAAATTTAGTTACAAAAAAATAAGTCATTTTATTTCAAAAACTTCGTACTTTCTTCTCTCAGTCCCCATAATATACAAAAGCGCACTTAATATATAATTTTAGAATTACTTCATCTAAAACAGAGCGATGTAAAATAACTTATTTCTGAATATGTATTTGAAAGTATAATTTCAAATTTATCATAAAGTACTACGTGAAGAGTACATTAATCATTTTATATGTTATAAGAACGGAAGTAGAAATAACAAGAGTGCAGAAAGAAGATACCCCAAAATCAAACAACCTCTTACATGCACCTCAATTTCATCGTTCTCGCTGACCCTGCCTCCCCCTACTCATCGATGGCCACAGCATTGAGGATCAGACTTCTAATACTAATCCTTAGTGTCTTATTCAGAAGGGTAACAAGATCTCGTGCATTGAAAACATTGTTATGAAGCGGAATCCATTAGTCTGGAACAATTTTTTCATGTCATCTTTCATCTGACCAATTCCACTCTTCATTCTGGTGATAGCAAAAGCACTAAATGCACACCTTAAATTTTGTCTGTTAAATTCATAAACTTGGGTCATTTCTCTAAGCTGTAGTGGATAATGCTAGCAGATGCAAAAGAAAAATGAAACATATAACAAGCACAAATGAAGCTGCTGCACATATGTTGTCAGGTACTAAGAACAAACATATCCCAATGCAGGGGAACAGGTCATAGAAGTTCAGAAGCAGAAAACTATCAAATGTTGAATAATTATATCCACATTGAGTTGACTAGACAACACTAGTGAATACCTAGGATGCACCAACAGGGCACAATGCAGAATGCCTAAGGAACTAACAAGTTAGCAGTCCAGCATGATTTACAGGGGTCTGATACCTACCCCATAACACCACTTATATATGATATCAAGGTTTTGCTCTCTTGTTGCTGCATGAGGGGCACTTGTAGTGTTTGATGTGCTCGGCCCGGGCAGGAGTGATTTTCACACACTTCCCATGAAACCACTTCTCGCATATGTCGCAACAAATCCAGAACTCATCGGATGCGTAGTTCTCCCCACAAGCGCCACACAAGGTCTCTCCGTGTTCCTCGTCTACTTCTTCGTCCAATACCTCCTCCTCCTTCACTTCTTGTTTTACATACTTCACAGATTCAGATCCTCGCTGTTTTATTTTGATAATAATGTGAAATTGACAATTTAGAAAGGAAATAAATTAGCATATAAACACATGTAAAAATGACATTTCAGTTAGGGAATAAATTATATTTAGCATATATTATGATAATAAGACATTTCCTACTTCTATTTAGATCATAAAGTTCAACAGTGACAAAGTAGATAAAATAAACAGTACAATTATGATACTAAAATGATCAACAAAAAAGAAAACTCAAACATGGACAGAGGTAACAGGATGTTTTCTTACTTTTGAACCGGACTTTGATTTGCTGCTGTTGCGGTCTGATGACTTCTCCTTGGCCTGTTTCATTGCAGATCCAGTTACGACCTCGAATATAGTAGGCAGATCATTAATCATAGTGAATAGGCGTTTCCTGCACAAAGAATTACACGTAATCAATGGTCAGGGTACAAATAAAAAGTATACTTGCTTTGATAAATTATGTATTCCACCACATACATGTATTATATTGCTAACTAGTCACGAGGGGCATATAAACCCATGCATGTACATGGGAATTTTATTGACATCTGCTTATCATGTAAATACATGGAAACAATGCAAAATGCCAAACTCTTTTTTTCAACAAAGAGAAAAACATAGAATCTTAAAGTCAAATACTTAATACCATTCTTTCCAGATGAGTGCGCACGAAAACATATGCAGAAAAACACAGAATTGTTCATGAAATAGTTAAATAGCCTAAACCATTTTGGCTCAGTATTATAAGCAAAGGAAAGACAGTCAATGACACGGCATAAGAAATGCGTCTTGCTTGTGCTTTTTTCAGCTGCGCTTTTCCTATCGCAATTGCATAAATGAAACATAGCTCTAACCTACAAGCATACGACAGATATGTTAATCTCATGCTGACAATGGTTTGTGTTGATCGAAAATCTTTCCATATAAACTATTCAGGCATCATATTTTATTAAGTCAANAGTTAGGGAAGCATATATTATGATAATAAGACATTTCCTACTTCTATTTAGATCATAAAGTTCAACAGTGACAAAGTAGATAAAATAAACAGTACAATTATGATACTAAAATGATCAACAAAAAAGAAAACTCAAACATGGACAGAGGTAACAGGATGTTTTCTTACTTTTGAACCGGACTTTGATTTGCTGCTGTTGCGGTCTGATGACTTCTCCTTGGCCTGTTTCATTGCAGATCCAGTTACGACCTCGAATATAGTAGGCAGATCATTAATCATAGTGAATAGGCGTTTCCTGCACAAAGAATTACACGTAATCAATGGTCAGGGTACAAATAATAAGTATACTTGCTTTGATGAATTATGTATTCCACCACATACATGTATTATATTGCTAACTAGTCACGAGGGGCATATAAACCCATGCATGTACATGGGAATTTTATTGACATCTGCTTATCATGTAAATACATGGAAACAATGCAAAATGCCAAACTCTTTTTTTCAACAAAGAGAAAAACATAGAATCTTAAAGTCAAATACTTAATACCATTCTTTCCAGATGAGTGCGCACGAAAACATATGCAGAAAAACACAGAATTGTTCATGAAATAGTTAAATAGCCTAAACCATTTTGGCTCAGTATTATAAGCAAAGGAAAGACAGTCAATGACACGGCATAAGAAATGCGTCTTGCTTGTGCTTTTTTCAGCTGCGCTTTTCCTATCGCAATTGCATAAATGAAACATAGCTCTAACCTACAAGCATACGACAGATATGTTAATCTCATGCTGACAATGGTTTGTGTTGATCGAAAATCTTTCCATATAAACTATTCAGGCATCATATTTTATTAAGTCAAACAAATCATCAGAAAATATTAAATACTTCCACAAAAGAAGCATTAGTTCAGAAGTAAAAGGTACTGGCATGCATTCCAAACATGTTATAATCCAATATCAAACAGTTGCATAGAGAATAACAAGATAAAAGATTGGAGAAAAGAACTATTATACCTGTCAGCTTTATCAAAACCAAATCTCGCTCCAAAGTAGAAAGCCACGGACTGTAGCCATGCATCACTGTGAACAGCAACTAAAGATAACCAGTCCTTTTCTTGCATCCCATCCCTAGCAAAGTTTATGCCCAATGCAGGTTCGGGAAGTTCTGGAGGAACTTCTTCAGCTGGCAAATTAACTTCCCATTGTTCATTGGGGAATCCATATAGACATAGGTTCTCCTTTTCTGATGTAAAACAGGAAAACAAAAGTAAAGCATCAATAGATTTTACAATGTAAGCTTCATAGATATTTTAGATACATGCAAGAGTACTAAATGAGAGAATAAAATGAAAAGAAAACCACAATTAATTTTAACTCGAGATAAAAGAGACAACCAAGCTGCAAACAAAGTAAGAAAGAAAACAAAGGAATATAATTAGCAATAGCTATTAAAATCAACACATGTTAGGGGATTAGTCTCACTTGTTGAAAGAAAAACACAGAAATATAAAATCCAGTTCTTCAAATTTTTCATTAACCCAAAGTAATAAATAGAAGTAAACCAAAATCATAAATCACTTCACTCCATATGATTGACTAAAAGTCTGTCAAATATTTAAATGATGAGCGAAACTAAGTAACCAAGTGCACCTAATAAAATAAAACAGAATCGGGAACTTCTACACAAACTCATACATACAAAAAAAAATATGGAAGTAACAAAAAGACAAAACAAGGTTGTTATTTAAATTCAGATCCTGTCTAGAGTTGGTAAAAGGAACAAAGCATATAAAAAGTAAAACGTAAATACTATCTTTTTATATGAATTTATATAAAAACAATTATACATTGTCATAAGCGGTATCTACACTCTTGCTGGCAGAAGTATAAAATATTTCGGGATTTCAGGAACAACTTAAAGAAAATCGATTAAACATTTGTAACACCCTAGAAATTTCAATTTAATAATTAAACAAACATTGGTGTTAATAGTATATGTCAGCAATTGTCTATACTAATTTCAAGCAGATACCAAGTTACTTTGTCTGCAATGTTTATTTCTGATAGCTACTCTATGAAAAGTTTAGCACTTAATAGAAATGGTAATAGACTTAGTAAACCAACCTCAGTATAATTAACTTACACTGTTTGATCCTATGTCGCATTCGGTCAGACTACGCAAAATTTACACTATATGGAGGTAATGTAGGTCATACCAAGTTCTAGGTGATTAACACCAATTCCTAGGATAATTACAATCAGGTATCAAGTTAATATGTCTGCAATTTTAATTTGTGATAGTTACTCTATGAAAAGTTTAGGACTCAATACAAACGGTAATGGACTTAGAAAACCAACCTCGGTATAATCAAATTACACAATTTTATCCTAAGACGCATTAGGTCAGACTAAAGTATAATTTACACTATATAGAAGTAATATAGATCATACCATGTTCTAGGTGATTAACACCAATTCCTAGGATAATTACAACAAATTTACCAATTGTAGTAAAAGCCGATTATCCATTTTTGGTCTAATCTAGCTCAACCAATTTTGGCTAAAAAATGCAAAACTCAAATTAGCAACAAATGGCATTTCTTATATATGCAACCAAGATCACACCCTTCTACCTTCAGTTAACCAAAACGCCCATTGGCCAAATTTTGTACCCAAATTTTCCTATTGTTTGATGGACATAACAGAAGTGGGGAGCTTGACCTTTCAAGATTCACTTTGACACCAGAAAAAAAATTAAAAAGAAAAATGAATTTGGCAGACGAAGAGGGGATTTTATTGCTCCTTTTACAACCAGGACTTGCAACCTCAGCTTTTTCCTTAAGAGATAAGGTAAGAACGAAACAGAGGTTGAACCATGCTCTTTTCTATTCTTCAAAACTATACTTTTTAGTTATCCTTAAATTGAACCAGGCTCTCAAATTTAACGCGTATTTGTAAGGCTTTGGCACCACTTGAAGAACTTGAATGAAGTAAAACAGTGTACGTACTTATTACACTGTTACAATTATATTACTGTATTTATAGAGTACAAAGGAGCAGAATACAAAAGGTCAAGGTACTTCCTTAAACCCTAACATAAAAGTTGGGTTCCAATACATTAAAATAATAATAAAGAAATATTACATTTTAACACTCCCCCTCATGCTGGAACATATAGATCATATGCATCAAGCTTGCAACATATAAATTAAGTTCTAGACCCCCTTAGAGATTTAGTCATAATGTCTGCAAGTTGTTCATTAGAGCTTATAAACTCTGTAATAAGATCCTTGGATACTAGTCTCTCTCTAACAAAATGATAACCAATTTCTATATGTTTTGTTCTCTCAGGAAACATTGGATTGGAGACAATGTGAAGAGCTACTTGAGTTTAGGGTTTAGGATAAATAGTTAAAACCAATGGAAGTAATACGATTTGGTCCCAAATATCAAAGTGAATAGTAGAAAAAACAGAATTACATCATGTCTCAGACTTTTTAGGATAGGAATGTTTTCCTAACTAACAAGACTCTCAATCTAAGACTTGAATGTGTTTGAGACTTGGAACCATCATCTTCAACTTAGACAAACTTGGGTGGCCCAAACAATCATGCAAAAGTTTTGGGGATAAAGTTGCAAAACAAGAAAATAGGGAGCTAGGTTTTAGGAAATAAAGTCCTTGTGACTCATGTCCTTCTCCAATCAGACGACCTGTACCATCTTCTTGTATAACAAAGAAATTAGCCGTAAAGGTTACATAACAGCTTAAGGAACAAATCAATTGGCTCAAAGAGATTAAATTGTAAGGACAATGAGGACTGGACAAAACATAATTTAAATTTCGTGAAGGAGATAAGAAACTTTGCCAATTCCTTGAGATGCCACTTTGAATCCATTGGCAACAATAATGGAAATGAGGAATTTTTTGGAGGAAATGGAGGAAAATGAAGAAATGTTACTAGAGACATGATATGATGTACTTGAACCAAGAATCCATGCACTATGACCTTCCATAGATTGAGAGATGCATGCAGTTGACACATTTGACATTTAAGAGGATTGGCCAAAATTGGTAGATTTCTCAAACTTGTACCTCAAAAATTCTTTGTACTCTTAATAAAAAATTCTAGATTCTGAATTATCATATTTAGACAAATGAACAACTTTATCTGGAAAACCATGCAAGGAATAACATTTTTCTTAGGTATGGCTCATTCTTACAATATGAGCATTGAGGACACCCACTTCAACCACCACATCCTCCAAAATTGCTCCTAACCCCTTCTCTTCCTCATAGTGGTACCATTGCTAATGTTTCAATAACATCAATTGAATTCTCATCTTTTATCAATGTAGGCACCCGAAGAAGTCTAGTAATTAAGTTATCCATTGAAGGGATTTGATCATCAACTAAAACTTGGTCATGTACATTATCAAAATCTAAATGTAGACTCAAAATTAAGACCATGTAAAACTTATCAAGTTTTTTGTTGATATCTTCTAATAATCAGCCATAAATAAATTGTTTAATTCTTCTACTGCAACCTGGGCCTCTCCTATATGAGAAACCATATCATGATTGATTTGTTTGAGTGAGACTACTCTTTGAGTTGCATCTGTTAAGAAGTGGATTTTAGGTCTAACTCAACCCCACAAAACCGGCTTATAAGGTGTGGTTTGCACCCACTTATATATTATAAATTGGCCTTATCTCTAATCGATATGAAACTTCCAACACACACTCCTCACACCGAGGTATAGACATCATCTCGAGCGTGAGACTAGATATTAATGGGTGGTCCGATAACGGCCCGATAGTGAGTGGAACATGCCTAACAAACAACAAATATCGCTAGGATAGGCTCTAACCATAGCTCTGATACCATGTTAAGAAGTGGATTTTAAGCCTAACTCAACCCCACAAAACCGGCTTGTAAAGTGAGGTTTGCATTCACTTATATATTGTAAATTGGCCTTATCTCTAGTCGATGTGAGACTTCCAACAGCATCAAAGAGACGTTGTACATCATTAGCAGAAATTTCTTGTGCCCTTTTCCAAAAAGAGAAGCATGCCTTATAAGGTCTCAATTTCTAAAACTTCTTGCTCAACAAATTGCCATAAAACAGCACATAATTGAAAATCCAATTTCTACCACTGAGGTTTTTCTTCATCTAGAACACTAGAGACATCTTGTTCAAGATGATTATGGTATCACTTGAGATTAAAACTGATAAAATATATTCTTGAGGGCTTAACAGATCTCTCTCATTATCTTCTATATATATTGAAAACACAAGAGTACATGGAACACCAAGAGTCTACACTAGACCTCTAGGTACAGAACTAGGTACTAATCATTACTGGTCTAGCAGACTAGCCTTAATGATGATATGTAACAGTAATTATTCTAACACTCCCCCTCAAGTTGGAGCACACAGATTGTATGTACCAAGCTTGGAACAAATAAACTCAATCTAAGGTCCCCTTAATGACTTNTGCGCACGAAAACATATGCAGAAAAACACAGAATTGTTCATGAAATAGTTAAATAGCCTAAACCATTTTGGCTCAGTATTATAAGCAAAGGAAAGACAGTCAATGACACGGCATAAGAAATGCGTCTTGCTTGTGCTTTTTTCAGCTGCGCTTTTCCTATCGCAATTGCATAAATGAAACATAGCTCTAACCTACAAGCATACGACAGATATGTTAATCTCATGCTGACAATGGTTTGTGTTGATCGAAAATCTTTCCATATAAACTATTCAGGCATCATATTTTATTAAGTCAAACAAATCATCAGAAAATATTAAATACTTCCACAAAAGAAGCATTAGTTCAGAAGTAAAAGGTACTGGCATGCATTCCAAACATGTTATAATCCAATATCAAACAGTTGCATAGAGAATAACAAGATAAAAGATTGGAGAAAAGAACTATTATACCTGTCAGCTTTATCAAAACCAAATCTCGCTCCAAAGTAGAAAGCCACGGACTGTAGCCATGCATCACTGTGAACAGCAACTAAAGATAACCAGTCCTTTTCTTGCATCCCATCCCTAGCAAAGTTTATGCCCAATGCAGGTTCGGGAAGTTCTGGAGGAACTTCTTCAGCTGGCAAATTAACTTCCCATTGTTCATTGGGGAATCCATATAGACATAGGTTCTCCTTTTCTGATGTAAAACAGGAAAACAAAAGTAAAGCATCAATAGATTTTACAATGTAAGCTTCATAGATATTTTAGATACATGCAAGAGTACTAAATGAGAGAATAAAATGAAAAGAAAGCCACAATTAATTTTAACTCGAGATAAAAGAGACAACCAAGCTGCAAACAAAGTAAGAAAGAAAACAAAGGAATATAATTAGCAATAGCTATTAAAATCAACACATGTTAGGGGATTAGTCTCACTTGTTGAAAGAAAAACACAGAAATATAAAATCCAGTTCTTCAAATTTTTCATTATCCCAAAGTAATAAATAGAAGTAAACCAAAATCATAAATCACTTCACTCCATATGATTGACTAAAAGTCTGTCAAATATTTAAATGATGAGCGAAACTAAGTAACCAAGTGCACCTAATAAAATAAAACAGAATCGGGAACTTCTACACAAACTCATACATACAAAAAAAAAAATGGAAGTGACAAAAAGACAAAACAAGGTTGTTATTTAAATTCAGATCCTGTCTAGAGTTGGTAAAAGGAACAAAGCATATAAAAAGTAAAACGTAAATACTATCTTTTTATATGAATTTATATAAAAACAATTATACATTGTCATAAGCGGTATCTACACTCTTGGTGGCAGAAGTATAAAATATTTCGGGATTTCAGGAACAACTTAAAGAAAATCGATTAAACATTTGTAACACCCTAGAAATTTCAATTTAATAATTAAACAAACATTGGTGTTAATAGTATATGTCAGCAATTGTCTATACTAATTTCAAGCAGATACCAAGTTACTTTGTCTGCAATGTTTATTTCTGATAGCTACTCTATGAAAAGTTTAGCACTTAATAGAAATGGTAATAGACTTAGTAAACCAACCTCAGTATAATTAACTTACACTGTTTGATCCTATGTCGCATTCGGTCAGACTACGCAAAATTTACACTATATGGAGGTAATGTAGGTCATACCAAGTTCTAGGTGATTAACACCAATTCCTAGGATAATTACAATCAGGTATCAAGTTAATATGTCTGCAATTTTAATTTGTGATAGTTACTCTATGAAAAGTTTAGGACTCAATACAAACGGTAATGGACTTAGAAAACCAACCTCGGTATAATCAAATTACACAATTTTATCCTAAGACGCATTAGGTCAGACTAAAGTATAATTTACACTATATAGAAGTAATATAGATCATACCATGTTCTAGGTGATTAACACCAATTCCTAGGATAATTACAACAAATTTACCAATTGTAGTAAAAGCCGATTATCCATTTTTGGTCTAATCTAGCTCAACCAATTTTGGCTAAAAAATGCAAAACTCAAATTAGCAACAAATGGCATTTCTTATATATGCAACCAAGATCACACCCTTCTACCTTCAGTTAACCAAAACGCCCATTGGCCAAATTTTGTACCCAAATTTTCCTATTGTTTGATGGACATAACAGAAGTGGGGAACTTGACCTTTCAAGATTCACTTTGACACCAGAAAAAAAATTAAAAAGAAAAATGAATTTGGCAGAAGAAGAGGGGATTTTATTGCTCCTTTTACAACCAGGACTTGCAACCTCAGCTTTTTCCTTAAGAGATAAGGTAAGAACGAAAAAGAGGTTGAAACATGCTCTTTTCTATTCTTCAAAACTATACTTTTTAGTTATCCTTAAATTGAACCAGGCTCTCAAATTTAACGCGTATTTGTAAGGCTTTGGCACCACTTGAAGAACTTGAATGAAGTAAAACAGTGTACGTACTTATTACACTGTTACAATTATATTACTGTATTTATAGAGTACAAAGGAGCAGAATACAAAAGGTCAAGATACTTCCTTAAACCCTAACATAAAAGTTGGGTTCCAATACATTAAAATAATAATAAAGAAATATTACATTTTAACACTCCCCCTCATGCTGGAACATATAGATCATATGCATCAAGCTTGGAACATATAAATTAAGTTCTAGACCCCCTTAGAGATTTAGTCATAATGTCTGCAAGTTGTTCATTAGAGCTTATAAACTCTGTAATAAGATCCTTGGATACTAGTCTCTCTCTAACAAAATGATAACCAATTTCTATATGTTTTGTTCTCTCAAGAAACATTGGATTGGAGACAATGTGAAGAGCTACTTGAGTTTAGGGTTTAGGATAAATAGTTAAAACCAATGGAAGTAATACGATTTGGTCCCAAATATCAAAGTGAATAGTAGAAAAAACAGAATTACATCATGTCTCAGACTTTTTAGGATAAGAATGTTTTCCTAACTAACAAGACTCTCAATCTAAGACTTGAATATGTTTGAGACTTGGAACCATCATCTTCAACTTAGACAAACTTGGGTGGCCCAAACAATCATGCAAAAGTTTTGGGGATAAAGTTGCAAAACAAGAAAATAGGGAGCTAGGTTTTAGGAAATAAAGTCCTTGTGACTCATGTCCTTCTCCAATCAGACGACCTGTACCATCTTCTTGTATAACAAAGAAATTAGCCGTAAAGGTTACATAACAGCTTAAGGAACAAATCAATTGGCTCAAAGAGATTAAATTGTAAGGACAATGAGGACTG